AAAATTAAAATATTTAAATTGTGAGATTAAATAATGAGCTAAAATACTAATTTTTTAAAATACTGCATAAGTTGAGAGACGGGTAATTCGATTTAATCTTCTAAGCCATGTTGATTGTTCAGAAGCAAGGTTAAAGATGCAGGTAATATTTTGAGGGTAAATACTAAAAACACAGAGACAATGAATCACAAATCAGTGTAAGGAGAAAGGGAAAAATAAAAACAAAACAATTTTTTAAAAAAACAGAAAAAACAATCATGGAAAACCAAGGGCAAATAGAAGGCACAAAGCAAGAAGCTTGGGACAAGTCTGGGATTTCTATTTCTGGCTGTGTAAATGGTGTTTGTTTATTTATTTATTTATTTATTTTTATTTTTGAGACAGAGTCTTGCTTTGTTGCCCAGACTGGAGTGCAGTGGAACAATCTTGGCTTACTGCAACCTCCACCGCCCAGGTTCAAGTGATTCTCCTGCCTCAGCCTCCCCAGCAGCTGGGACTACAGGCACCTGCCACCATGCCAAGCTAATTTTTGTATGTATAAACCATTTGATACTGGAGACGACCTTCTCAATATAAATAAATAGAAGTTTGGATAAGACAAAAATACATTATTTAAATGCACAGAATATGGACTATGAGATAGTATAAGATTAATAAATTCATAGATTCCCCAAAGTTAAGTGAAAGCAGGAATCCAGAAAGACATGGAGACACCAAAGCCAGATTTCACCCTGAAAGTTTCTGCAGGACCCAGAGAACTTAGGCAGCACATTCACCTCCATCCTTTAGCCACTGAACAGGAGTTAAGCATAACATGCCAGGGCCTGGTCAGGGTCTTGCTTTAAGCAAGAAAGAAGAAATCTAATAGAAGCCGTCTGCATAAATTTGTGATCTCACAGAGCTGCACTCTTAGCATCAAGGTGCATGAGAGGCCCACAGTGAAACAGGTTGTCTTACCCTTGGTGCTGGATAAAGGTAGGAAATCTTCCCTGAGGATTCACATTCATGAATTTGTCCTCATATAGGTTTTTGGACTAAGGTTATATTAGCAAAGTGTTCCAAAAATCTTCAAACTGGTAATTTACAACAGAGCAGTGTTCGCAGCATCCTAAAGCAGCAGAAAAAAGCAAACGTTCTCTGGAAGAATGGAACCTCAACTCACACCTCAGAGAATTCCTGGTAACCCAGTTCTAAGAAAGTGAGCAGCTTTCAGCCAAAGGAACATGCGTGAATGAGGACAGAAAAGAGATTATCTGAATTATATGAGAACTTCAATACATTTAAGGAAATAGAAGACTGAAATATGAACAGAAAACAGTCTGTTAAGAAGCACCATGAAGATTTGAAAGAGAACTAAACAAACTTCTAGAACTGAAAGTTATAATAATTAAAAATTTAAAACTTGGACACATTAAAACAAATTACATTACTGAGAAAATCAGTGAATGAGTGAGAGATATCAATCTATCCAGAATGCAGTACACAGAGAGAGATTAAAAAGACAAAATAAAGGTTGACACAGGGAGAGTTGTGTGAGATTTGATATAGTCAACTGAGATTTCAGAGGGAGGTACGATCAAGCTGAGACAAAATTTGGGAGAGAATATCAGATCCAAGAAACTTATTGAACAGCAGAACACATAATGTTTTTTTTTTAAATCTAGACATATAATAAAACTTCAGAATGCCAAAAAGAGAAGATTTTGAGGGCCAAAGAAAAAAGATGGACTAAGACCAAGGAAAAGCTAGCATTTAGATTAATGATTGACTTCTCAAGGACAGCAATGGAAGCCAGAAGACAGTGGAATAGTAGCTTTGGGGTGGTGAGAACTGACAATTTGGAATTCTACAATCAGAGAGCATTTTCTAAGAATGAAGGCAAAATAAGATAAATAGAAATTGATGATTTTCTGGGTTTGCTAGCCAAAAGCTTTGCTGAAAGACATTCTTAAAAATGCATTAAGTGAATATTTTTAAATTCAGCTATATACTACTTACACCAAATCATAAGAACTCAAAGACTAAAACAAAATGGAAATTATTAATAAAAAAGAAAATATTAATCATACTTGATTAATATTTTCTTTTATCAAATATGATTAATTTAATTTGTTTAAAGAGACTAGGCATAGCTAGTTAATATCTGATTTTTTTTAAAGTTGTTTTAAAAGGGAAAAAAAACATTACTAGTGGTGGAGTTTCACTTCAGAATGATAGAAGGTTCAATTCATCAGGAAGATACGAAGTTCTAAAATTTCACTGAAAAGCATAATTTAATTTTCAGAAAATAGAACTGCAAGAGGAGAAAACAAACACATAGTTGAGTATTTTATTTAACACACCTCTCTCAGAAATTAATAGTTCAAGCAGACAAAACATAAATCATGATATAGAAGATTTAACAGCACAATTTGCAAGTTTAGATACATGCAGCATTGTGCACAACAGCTAATGAATGCACATTCTCCCAAGTAGGTAGGGACATTTTCAAGAGCTAATCACCTGTGAGGTCATAAAGCTAGCCTCAACAGAAACAAAAGACTGACACCACAGAAACAATACTCTCTGGCCAAAATGATTAGTTAAGAATGAGTTAAGGCTAAGAATTAGTTAAAACAAAACTAAAAATAAATTCCATATGTTTGGAAATTTTGAAAACCACTAAATAACTCATGGGTCAAAGCAGAAGCAAAAATACTATGTCAAAACTTGTGAAATTCTGTGGTTGTTGTAGAGAAATTTAATAATTGTTAATGTTTTCATTTAAAAGAAAAAGAGTCAAAAAAGTCAGTAGGTGTTAATCATCCTACATAAGAAACTAGAAAAAATGCCCGCAAATTAACTCCGAAGGAAGTAGAATGAAGGAAGTCAATCATAAAGAAAAAAGCCACAAGTAATCCAACAGAAAATAAACATAAATGAGAGAATAAAGGACAAGAGTTGGTTGCTTAGAAAAGGTGAATAAAACAGACAAGATTCTGAAAAGGTTAAGGAGAAGAAGAGAGAAGACAAGAAATATTAGGATAAAAAAGGACAACTATCAACACATCAGAAATGTAACAGGTAAAAATGTACTATAGCCAAATTTAAGCCTATTAATTTCACAATTTAGACATACTGAGAAAATTTTAAAAATACAACTTTCCACACCAATTCTAGAAGAAATAGAAAATCTGTGTATTTTTATAATTATTAACAAAATTGGATCCATTAACAGAAACGCTAAAAAAAATCTTCAGGCCTATTGGTCTTTACAGAAAAATTCAAGGAACAATTAATTCCAAACTTACACAAACTCTTCCAGAGACTAATGGCCAGTGTAGTCTTAATACCAAAACCAAACAAGAAAGTGAGGAAAAATATAAAACCAAAACAAATTCTAAATAAAATATCAGCAAAGTGAATCAAGCAGTGCCTTTAAAGAATAGATAATAGATAGATAGATAGATAGATAGATAGATAGATAGATAGATAAAAAAATAGATAGATATTATCACCTAAGAGTGTTTGTCTCAGGAATCAAAAGATTGGTTTAACATTAAGAAAACAATTCACTGAAATCGTTGAATTAACAGTTTAAAAGAAGAAAATCATATCATTGTCTCAATAGATGAAGAAAAAGCAGTCAGTGAAAACTTCCTTCTCATGAGAAAAGTTCTGTGAGTGTTTCATAATCTGTTAGAGGACATTTTTTAAAAAGGAAAAACCCTATAGCAAGCATTATTCTTAATAATGCCATATTGAAAAGATTCCTTTTGCCGCCAATAACAAGACAAAGGTGCCCTCTGTTATAGGTTTTACATTATATAGGAAAGTCCAGTGAATACAATGAGGTGA